CTTTTCTCTCTCTCTCTCTTTTACAGTGTGTGTGTGTGTTCATGCTCGTGCGTGCATGTGTTTGTGTGCGTGCGTGTGTGTGTGCCTGTGTGTGTGTATGCGTGTCAGATGAAAGGACATCTCGTTGAGGGGTAACTCTGGCCTCCTCTGTGCGCCTCGTTTCAGTGGCTCTGATGACAAAATGTGTCTGTGTTCAAAAAGAGGCCGCTGCCGAGCATGTGCTGACATGTCTAAATCTGAAACTGTCTCACACATATGGACACACACACACTATCACACACATGCACATGAACACACACACCAGCACGCACAGTGTTGCGCCCCCGAGGGCCATCTGGAAGTGCAGAGCGAGGCACAGCTGGTCTCCAGTGAACATCCATCGAGTCTGGACCCCTCATCTGCAAGATCACACAGCGAGGCGCCAATCACTGACGGAGAGTGTGTGTGTGTGTGTGTGTGTGTGTGTGTGTGTGTGTGTGTGTGTATGTGTGTGACTCTGCATGCAAGTCTGCAGGAGGGAAGTGTGATTGTTGCAGTCATCTCTCTGCCTGTAAAAACAAATCTCGCCAAATATTCCCAGGAACGTGGGTGGAATAGGTGCCACCTAGTTTGAGATTGACCCCTCTTCCACCCCATAGAGACTTCAGTCCGTGTGTGTATTTGTGTGTGTGTGTGCAGTTGGGGACACTGACTACAGCACAGACACTAAATGTATCTGAAAAATTGCCTCCATCTGTTGGCACTGGAAAAAATCCGAGAGGACAAATTGAAAAGATTGCAAGGATAAAGCCGTCATAGTGAATTAGTATCGCGGCAGGAAGACTTCTTGTTATCGGGGTATTTGTAAAATATTCAGGCTCACGTGTGTGTGTGTGCGTGTGTGTGTGTGTGTGTGTGTGGGATGGGGTTGGATGTGTAGCTGGAGGGGCTGTACAGGCTGCTGACTTGAACGGATTCAGAAGTTTGTGCAAGTGTGATTCTGCATGTATATGAGCCGTATCTTTACGAGTGTGTGCGCCCATGTTTTTTTTTATACTGGCTTATGTGGCTCACACCCACCACCTGCAGCGATACTCACTGCCAGGATCTCATTTGAATAGTAATATGGATCCAGTACAGCCATGCATACAAGCGTGACATCTTAGAAAAATTCCTGAAACCTGGTTTCTTTTTTCAGTTTAAGCTGCAGCAGTGAGTTTGTGGGACTTTCCAGGCAAAACTGGACAAGCTTGACGGTTCATTTTATTGGCAGCATGAAGAGAATTAATACACATCAGCTGTAAGGGCTACACATCACCAGCACAGAACGGGCAGACGTTTGAGTCTTCTCTCTGTGTCTGTTCTGTCCCTTGTTAATTTGTTTCTGTAGACATAAGACGTTTAGACGCCTCGTTTTAATAATTTTAATAAAGGTATACAACTACATTTTGCTTGGTGAGTCGTCAGGCGAATAGAGTCACATAAATGAAGAATGTAACATTAAGATACATTGACAAACATACGGTATATAAGCATAAATGATGAAATGTGTCAGAAATGGGGCTGTGTAAAAAAAACTAAATATATGAATCGATGCATTCCAATATATTTTGTCCTGAAAATCCTGAAATCGATTCTTCCCGTTCTGATGACTGGGAGGGGCACTGTGTGTGTTGCCATTCTGTGATTTGTGTTGGACAATGGCCCCACTTGACTGAACAATGTCCGATACAAATACATTTTTGAGTCATTTTGTTCCAAACTTTTTTGGCTCTCCACTAAAGAGTCTGGTTCTGCTCAGGGGTTTCTGCCTGTTTACAAAAATGTTTCCCTTTGTTGCCAAGTCCTTGCATATGGTGGATTAATACTGAGTCTTGGATAATAAAACTAATATTACGGCCTAGGCCTGATCTTTATTTAATGTTTGATAAGATGACTTTTGTCATGATTTGAAGGTTTATAAATAAAACCTGACTTACTGATTGAGAATTGTTTCAGGGATTTTTTTTTGACAAGACAGTCTCTGTATTCACACAGGGTAAGAGTGAATAAGAGCTAGAGAGAGAGAGAGAGAATTACAGATATATATCCATGGACCTATCAGTCAGCCATTCCCCTCAAGAAATAGTTGTTGATGGGGCAGAAAGACCTGTCATATAAAGTCCTTGTTCAGATCTATATTCACAGATAAATCTGTGTTCTGTCGAAATCCAAGTCAAGAAGGACTTTCCGAGTTCACACCTGGAATCAGAAAAGCTCTCAGAGGTGTCTCTGGTGAACACTTGTTGACTTCCTCTTCCCAACTCATTTATGCAAGAACCGCACAGGCTGCTTGTGATTCTGAACGTTCACCATCCGAGTCACAACTTCACAGACTTGCATCAACACTTATTTACTTACCATCCCCGAGGATCCGTGTGGTTACTCAATGAGCTTGCCAATTGTTGTTGCTAATTGTTTCACACTTTGAATGATGAAAATGTGCAGGAACGCTTATTTTCACTCGGGACAGATGACGTAGAGTCAAATTAGGATGTGGTCGACGCAGTCAGATCCCAAATCAGCCCCCCCTGTTTGCTCTGTTTGCTGCACCAGCCAGGATCACAGCTGTCCATTTATAACGCAGTGTCATCTGCATAACACATGTTAATAATGTCTGAGGATGCAGTACATCTGGCTGTGTTTGCTTCATTGATTAAATGTTTGAGCCTTTTTGATTGCTTTCCAGTGGTCGGCTTGCAGTGACTTCTTTAATCATCTTTTTGGTGGTGTTGTATTTTGACCTATGAATGCATTTTCGAAAAGTTCTATTGTTATTCCTGATGTTTTGTTATTTGTCCTAAACAAAGACAGTACCCTTTATAAGAAAAGAAAGAGCCAATTTCAGTTTGCTCTTTGGTTTTTGGATTATGTTTTGAAGCAGCGTGTTTTGTGTGTTGGTTGTTGTCATTTCATTTTTGTTTTTGTTTTTTTATTGGTACCATAAGGGATTGTTTGGAATATATTATGGATTCCTAAGAGGACAAGATCCGTTACTCAATTAAACGACTTACGAGCCTGTGGAACGATCAGTCTACTAAAGCCTCGAAGTCCTTTATGGAACATAAACATAAGGATTAATAGAGGTTAAAATGAGTGGTTTAAATAAGTATAACGACTGTAAATATTTCATGAATGGTGAAATATGCTTTTAAATTCAAGAAATTATTTTTTTTACCATGCTGAATGCGTGTTTATTTCTGCAGTAAAGTAACATATTTTTATATGGGGCTGTATGGAGAATGACTCTCTTATGGAGTCAGCCTCAAGTGGCCATTTCAGGAACTGCATTTTTTGGGTTCATCCTTGTTTGCTTCATTTTCCAGCCATTGAGTTATCTGCTTGGTCTTGTATTCTTTTTTGAAAACTCAGCGTTGTTATGGCCTTTCATAACTTTACACGTAATACGTAGATCCATGTCAACAAGCAAAATTTCTACAAAATAAAAGCACTGTCAGGTGAGCAAGTATTTTAGTTATACAGTCATGTTACAATGGGCCTTAACATAGCACCACTAGTATTGGCAATGTTGTTCTTGGTGGGCTTTTTAACCAGTCTACTGGTGCCACTTTCTGCTTCTGCTCTGCTTTCTGCTCTCAAATATGGACAGGACTTGTCAAACCGGCCATCATTACATCATTTTTTCACATGCAGCTGTGTTTTATATATTGAGATCTCCTCTGAGAGATAAAGTACTGTGATAGTTTGTGAGCAGGTCAGGGGAAACTCTTTACAGTATACTGTAAGTGGGTGTAATCACATTTGCCTCGCCGCGTGGACAGACCTCTGGGTCGTCATGGGTTTGACCACAAAAAACCTGTTTGTTTGGCCAGGCAGACCTCTGGGTCATTCCATGCTAGACTGCTAATTGGAACTAGCATAAGCTGGCTAATGAGTGCTAATTAGGCTAATGAATTAGTTTCAGAGTGTACAGGAGGAGGAGGAAGAAATGTACAGGGACACATCTGGATGCACGCATACAGATGCTGACATGTTATTTTTCAACATGGCTTCAGGGGGAATAGGAACAAAGAGTGAAAGTTACAGGGGTCGCACACACACACACACACACACACACACACACACACACACACACACTCCAGTCACACACTACTGATTCTCCTCTCAAGCTTGTATCTGTCACTATACGCATGTGTGCTCACATTATCATCCTCAAACACAGTAGCAGAAACATATGTGGATTCAAACCCCCCCAACCCAAACACACACACACACACACACACACACACACACACACACACACACACACACTCTACCACAGTCAATGAGGATGCCCCCTTTTTACCCACAAACTCACTTAGCCTGCACATCTGTCGCACTCCCCCGGGAACAAACACAACAATATGCTTCGACTTACTCAACTTGTGTTTATGAGGAGTTCGAGACTCCTGTTTAATTACAGCTGGAGTCTGTCCTTAGTCTGTTCGGGAGTAATTTACACGACAAATGAGCAAATCTGTGGGATGACATCCCCAGTGATTAATAACTTGTTTAATCTTTGACATGCAATAACTGCGTCTTAGAAGGGTTTATTCTCATGTACACAAAAACAAGGTGAGAGGAGGTCAGAGCTTTTTTTTTTTTAAACATGAATTTTTAATCTGAGGTGTTCCTTTGAGTTATATAACCTCATCATGCACACAAAAAAGACTCCACTACAATACAGTACAACAAAACACTCCCCTGGATTTTGTTACAGTCATCACCAGACCCCCCAGGACACCATTCACCCACACACTCCTGCAGACACACACACACACACATGTGCACAAAAGACATGAGTGAAAGAGAAGCAGAGGGAGACAGCAGAGAGGTCCAGGAGGCTAATGTAACAACAGTCTCAATAAGCAGTAAATTGGATCTCTTTCTCTCGGCTGCCTGGAAGACACTCCAGGCTGCTTGTGGTTTTATATTGTCATCACCCTGAAGCTCCACGTTCAGGCGCCTGCTGGGTTGTCCGCATGGCGCCCAGAAAGACCAGGCGGCAGCCCGCCAAGCGCACACCTATGGGACCTCTAATCTGGTGTAACAAATTACATTTACTCAACAAAATAGCTTACAAAGTTGAGGTAGTTTTGTCTGTTTTACTTCAAGCTAAAAATGTTAGCATGCTTAATAGCCTGCTAGCTTAAGAAGAAACCAAACACTGAATCATTCAATCATTCAGCTAAGAATATCATTAGCTTGCAGAATTATGTTGGGTTGCGGTTGTTGTACATACAACATCTGTACCGTGTGTTACCCAACATTTCATTTCATTGGTAATAAGGATTAACTCCTTTAGCCCTCCTCTTCAATTTCTATCGTGTACGCTTAATTAAACTGTGAGTATATAAACAAAATTTAAAAACTCTGGATGTGGAGTTTGTTAATCATGTCAAAATGAAAGTTGATGCACGTTAGGCCTAAATCTTCAACTGCTTCCATGTGCACCTAACCGGGATGCTAACCTTTAGCCTTGAAACAGCATCTTTAACCTCAGTCTGTTAGTGTGACCTCATAATGAAGGTGCATATTTAAGACACCTCCTAGATGTTTAAAAGGAATAAGCAGTAACCATTTAAAGTGTATTTCAAGCAGACGGTAACTTGAAGAAAACTAGCTATGGTTGGCTCTAGCTGCCCATCAACTAAGGTTTTGTGTTCCTGCTTTCTTACAGTGCAGACGTTTTTCTTCTATTAACTGCGAACCATCCAGACCGCTCAGGTCGTCTGGGACAGGTCTGCTCTCTTTGTCCCAGAGTCAGAACCAAACATGGAGAAGCAGCGTTCAGCTTCTATGCTCTTATATCTGGAACAAACTCCCAGAAAACTGCAGGTCTGCTGAATCCAGGTTGAAGACGCACCTGTTTACAGCTTCAATAAGATTTAAAACTTTTACTCTGCACTGTAATTATAATTTTTTTAACTCTTTTAATTTCCTTATTTTTATTTTTATTTTTTTTATTTTTATTTTTATTTTTATTTTTTTTATTTTTATTTTTATTTTTTAATTGTAATTATTTTTATTTGAACATATTTCCAGATTTAATAATTTCAGTGATTTTTTAAATGTTCTATTTTAATGTTTCTTTCTTTCCTCTGTCATGATGCTTTTGATGTTGTGTGAAGCACTTTGAACACGCCTTGTTGTTGAAATGTGCGACATAAATAAACTTGCCTTGCCTTGCCTAAGGGCCATAACGAGGGCTATGTACAGTAACTTATCTATAATTGAGACGAGGTGTTCCTTCAATGACTGCTTATGCTTTCTTTAGGGCACAAATAATGTTGATCTCAAATCTTTCTTCTTTTTTACCCACCCAATGTGACACACATGAGCCCTTCCATTTTAAAAATCTATTCACATTTGTCACACAAATCACTTTTTCTCACCCTGCTTTCATTGTGTTATCTGCTTCACACATGCGCACATTCATATTATGGAGAGAGAGAACGCACATACACACACAAGCACAGCCTGAAGGCTCGCAACTCGACTGTGGTTTCGCTCCAACAGCTCAAGGTCACAGGTACATCACAGCGGAGAGAGCTTTTGTTAGACAAAACCGAAGAAAAAAAAAAGGAAATGAAAAGGAAGAGAAGAAGAAAATGATGACTATGGCCTCTGAACTGTGTGAACTCCAAACCAGCAAGAGAGGGAGAGGAGGTATTAGAGGAAAATGAAGGCAGGAGGAAGGAATGTGAAGGTGGACGTACACAGCGGGGAAGCTTATCATCAAATGTGACATGGGAAAGATTGTTCTGGCGCTTTTTCAGGTGGAAGTAGCCAAAAGGACATCTTGTGCCCCTGCAACTTGCTTGAGAGCCTTACTGGTTATAAAACATGAAAAATGGAGTTGAAAAGTTTTTCTTCAGACAGATTAGGTCAACCAGAATGTATTAAAGACAGATCTGACACACACATGGAAGAGCGGTTAGATAAAACATTTTACAGGGCTGTTGCGACACACATTGATATTCACTGCAATCAGATGTCGGCCTGTTTTGTTGGCTGTTATGCACATGCACACACACATGCGAACACACACTTGCACAAACAGGCAACGTCCAGGCAGACAGCTGGTGTGGAAATATGGGCTAAGATAGCTTCCTCGTCTCCATCGGCAGGTGACGGAACGTCAATGTGAGGGCGTGCAGCTGTCGCCTGTTCGCGCCACGTGTGTGTCTGCAAGTCTGTCGGTGTGTGTCTGAGTATGTATGTGTGTGTGCGTGTGTGTGTGTGCATGATAATTGTGTTAACTGCTGCACAGAACGTTATGCATGTAGGTGTGAATGAGGGCGGAATTTTTTTTTTTTTTTATCACAGGCTGCCATGTCCCCGCACTTCATTAGAGCTCTGCTGAGGAAGAGACAAGGCAGCAACATCAGCAATCACCATCAAGTGCGTGCGTGCGTGCGTGCGTGCGTGCGTGCGTGCGTGCGTGCGTGCGTGCGTGTGTACCTACGACTTGGCTTCAAGCTTTGCCCTGTCAGCTCGGTCCATATTCACAGGCGCAAACAGAAGGCAGCCTCAGCAATCGCTGTCACACATGTGTACAAGCTACAGAACATCAGCGGCATCATCACAGAGCACAGTGTGCATGTAGAGAGAGTGTGTGTGTGTGTGTGTGTGTGTGGCTGTCCTGTAACCTTCACCTTGTAAAGACGACGACTAACTGAGAAATGATTTTCTGCTGCAGCAGTCTCTTAACCCCAGACCTGAACAACCCTCAGGGCTCATTATTTCCATATTTTTCACACATAGGAAAAAAAAAAAATCATTGGTGGTGTTAGCATTATAAAAAAAATCTGACATAAGAAAATCATTTATTAGACGCTGTAAGTGTTGGCAGTACAGAGACATGAGGTGTAGAATATATATATGATTTTGTAAGGGAAAATTGGTAAAACAAAAAATAATGTGCAGATTTCAGAACACAGCCGCTGCATGAATAGCTCACGTGATAACGTCCTGGTGAGGCTCTGCGTGTATGTTTTGGAGGAATAATTCATGCAGGGCGACATAACTGCGTCTGAATGTGAGGAAAGATTGAGATAGAAGAAAATACAAGACCGCAGAAAGATGGAGGAGAAGCTCAACAATGGTAAAAAAAACAAACCTCAGATACAGCCATTCAGTGACTCAGGAAAACATTTATGCAATGTATATAAAAAGAAAATAAATAAGACAATCCCTTTATCCATCTACTGTATGTAACCTACAACAGTATATACACATGTATGCTTAAGTTATTTAGTTCACACACAAACTGTCAAAACACAGAAAAGCAGCATACATCAAATGGAAACACACAAACTGGTGCATACACACACACACACACACACACAGAGCCAGCTGTGTGGTGGAAGCAGGTGTCACTCTCAGCTCATTACCCCTGGCAGGGTTGATCACCCTGTTTGGAGAGCAATAAGACACACCTCAGTGGACAGAGATAGAGGGAGGGGGGGGGAGAAGACACTGGGTGGATGAGGGAGGGAGCATCGGCCTCCTGTTTTTTAGAGATAGAGGAGAGAGAAGAGAACCGAGGAGGTGTGCAAAAGGGGTGAGGAGGAGGGCGAGGAAAAGAAGCAGAAGCAAAATATCAAATATGAAATATTTTCTGGGTTTTGAACATTATTTCTTACCTTTGATTGTAAGCACAGTTTTATAATACACTGAGGCAAAGTTCATGACATTGTGGGTGTGCTTACTTTCAGTTTTACCTTCAATGGAGGTGTATCATTTACAGCCTGTCAGACAGGTTGTGCTACTTGCCCCATGTTACCTTCCTTGTACAGTGTAGGTGTGATTCTTGTAATAAACCTGAAGTATCCTTTAAATCATGAGCGACACACAGTGGACACATTTTAAGTCTTTGTCTTACGATCTTCTTAACTTTATTTATCAGATGGCATCGGCAGCAAGTAACAGTGATGGTGGATGTGTTTCATGTCTTCCTTGTGATTACACACAAAAAGCGTTCAAAGCTCGTCGCTGTAAATATCGTGTTAAGTCAGTGAACTCATCACGCCTGTGTTGTTTGTTGTGTCTCTGCAGGTACGACTACAAGGAGATGCTCCACAACTCTACCTTCTGTTTGGTGCCCCGCGGCAGAAGACTGGGCTCCTTTCGCTTCCTCGAGGCTCTGCAGGTAAACAAGCAACACACACACACACACACACACACACACACACACACACACACAGGTTCCATAATGAGCACGAGCTGCATGTGCTGTAAATTCATACCTACCAGCCATCTTGCTCACAGCCCTCCCACTTAGCATTTGTTTTCATGGTGCAGCCTCCAGCATTAAAGGTTCACTAAATCATCCCCACTTTAAGTTTCACACTAATAGTGTAATTAATTAAAAAAACAAACCAGACCTTGGTTTGGTCATGCCTTTAAACTGTTTTAATTTGTGTCACAGCCAGGTAATCATTACGCACCTGAGCTGCTAAATCTCTCGATGACTTGGTGTGAATTGCAGAATGATTTGAAGGAAACAAAGCAAATATTTGAGAAGACTTTAGATTGTGTTTGAAATTAAAAACACATTTACAGGGGGAAACACAACTTTTCCCTGCCATTGTTCTAATTGCTTATTTCCATATGACTTAAACACAAATATAAAGTTCACTAAATCATCCCCACTTTAAGTTTCACACTAATAGTGTAATTCATTTAAAAAAACAACCAGACCTTTGGTCATGCCTTTAAACTGTTTTAATTGTTCACAGCCAGTAATCATTACCACCTGAGCTGCTAAATCTCTCGATGACTTGGTGTGAATTGCAGAATGATTTGAAGGAAACAAAGCAAATATTTGAGAAGACTTTAGATTGTGTTTGAAATTAAAAACACATTTACAGGGGGAAACACAACTTTTCCCTGCCATTGTTCTAATTGCTTATTTCCATATGACTTAAACACAAATATAAAGTTTAGAACTTTCCTTCCATCTTTCTCAAATAATCATAACATTGTACAAAAAAGACAGAGCAGCCAAGCTAACAAGCTAACTAGCTTAGTCAGCTTTTCAGAGTGTGGCTTCATTTGACAGCGCTCGCTCTCGTTACCCTGCTTAGCATCTCGTATTCCTTCATTAAAATTAAAACCACTGAAGGAAAATATAGAGGAATTATCTGTCTTGTGAACTGGCAGACATAATGGTGTATGGAGGGGCAAATTTATTGTGTGTGCTTTAAATGAATGCTCGTCAACTGCACCGCACTCTGCATCACTACCGCACCGTCCTTTACCTCTCCTTACCGCACGCTGCCTTCCACAGAGTGCTCCCACATAAGTGGGCTTATCTCGCCATCAGCTGCCACACACACACACACACACACACACACACACATGACAACGCACTTCAGTCAGGAGGCAAATATGGCCTCCTCTCCTGCTCCCCTCCCCCCCTTCTCAATTTGAAAACGTACTCCCTCCATCGACTCGTCTACGTGAAGACAGAGCGAGAGTTCTGTCTTTGCATGAGAAAGCGATTTATAACAGAGGTCATCTCTGCGCATGTGTGTTCAAATGTGTGTGCGTTCGCCCTGGGGTTGTTTATGTGTCTCTTACCATTGGATGTGTGTGTGTGGGTGTGTGTGTGTGTGTGTGTGTGTGGTGTGTGTGTGGAGGAGACAGCAGCAGAGCCCGCAGGCCGGCTCTGGTTTAGCCGACACCTTTATGACCCGGGAGTGACAGGGCCGTCATTACATCAAACTCCCACCACACACACACACACCCACACCCACACACACACACACACACACACACACACACACACACAGACACACACAGCAGCTGTTCCCTCTACCTCTCCTCTCATCCCTCCATCCTCCTGCCACTCCTCTGCCAAAGGTCACATTCACCTCCTCTCGTCTCATCCTTTTTTAAACATCTATTTATCCACTTTCTTCTTCTTCTGATTTATTTGACGCTCCTCTCTTTCTCATCTGTTTCCACAATTTAACCTTCAAAGTCATTTTTTAATATCCAAGTGTCGACAGGTGCATTAGTTAAAAAAAACAACAAATGACATCAAAGTGAGCATGTTCACTTTTTAAGTGGACGTGATAACAATCAAACGTGACACACTGTTGTTTGTTTTCTTTTGATTTCAAAAGGCTCATTAACGATAAGAACGCTTTCAAGAAATCAAACAGCATCAGAACAATTACTCGTGTTTTCATAAATTATTTTTTGTGCATTTTGGAGCTCTTGTGTTCCAGCAGAGAGTTGATAAATGTTTTCTGGTGTACATAAAAACCAGGCTGCTGCCTACTCATCTTCTTTCAACTTCTATTTTTACTTCAAAATATCAGACTCTTTCTGATCTTTTCTCCAACAAACGATTGCATTTTTTTTTTTTGCTTCATATTCATCTCAGTAATCATTTTACTGAGACTCTGAGCCGCCTGCCTGCTTATCGAGATTGTTAGTTCAACCTTATTTCTTTTATCTGATATCAAAGATTGAGTTGTTTTGAACTATGTTTCATCTAAAGTTTTTTTGAACTATTATCCGAGCAAGAAGTGTTTATGTTTATGTTTTAACAGTGGGTTAAATCACTCTGTGTCATGTGAAAGGGGTCCCTCAAAATGTTGGAAAAAGAATCTGCGGTTCCCCACACCTCCACTGAGCCTTTTAGCATCTTTAAGCAAACTGTTTTGGTTTTGAAACTTGTAACTTTAATATTTTCTGTCATTTCGATCTGATATTTCCCGAAAGAAAAGAGACTGAAATCAAATCAAATATTGGAAGACATTTCAAGAAGTGACCAAAAAACACACAACACCTCAGAATACAAACTTGTTGGTAATTGTTCCCTTGATCTGTAATGGTGCATTAATAATGAAGAATATCAACATTACAAGGTGATAATATTGTCTTGTGTTATGTTCATCATTTTGTCTGCTGCCCCCAAGTGGCCAAAATTTAAGTTAGGCAGCTTTAATTGCATTAAGTAATATTGCCATTTCTGTTTACTGGCATGATATTACATTTTTGTAAATTGGAAATGTGTTGAATAAAATCAAAAGAGTTCAACCGCAAATGTATCTCATGTTAAGACACATAGAGGGGCTTTCACACAGGATATTTGCAGTTCGGAGGAGCTGTATGTGTGAACGCAAACAGACACATTTTTCACTCTGACTTTAACCGGAGTTTCAGGAGCAGTCCTTCCTGAGATGGTCTAGCTATTTTCCTGAGTGCAAATGTGAAAACGGCTATCAAAGTGATAATTAAATCTGGTATATTCCAATTTTTATGCAGCTTATTTTTTCTCATGGTTCACATCTTTTTAAGAACGATCTGCTCGGAGGCAGCATCAAGTCTGTATTCTGATAAAGCCGGCATCTATGAAGGCATGAGTAGAACACAATATCAGCTCTGATTCTGCATGTGTTATCACATCCCCACTTGGCTGCTACAAGCCTCACTAGTGTTTCTGTGTAAATCACACCAAAGACTCATTCTTTGGTGTGATTTTTTGCCAAATGGGGGATTTTAGGCACTACAACAACGGATTGCTGAAAAACAGATTGATCCGCTTTAATGCAATCTACTCATTTACTCAAGAGCGGCATATTACTATTAGCTTTGATTAACAGGATCAATACATTGCAAAACTTGTATGGTTTAGCTGTTGCTGTGATTTTTATTGTAAAGGATCCTAAAAAAGTGTCCCTCTCTTTCTGTGTGTGTGTTTTTTTTATAGGCTGCATGTGTGCCTGTGATGCTGAGTAACGGCTGGGAGCTGCCTTTCTCCGAGATCATCGACTGGAACACAGCCGCAGTCATCGGCGACGAGAGGCTCCTGCTGCAGGTAACAACTCCAAGATGACTTTCTCGTGTGAAACCACATGCGATATGTGTCACCTGGAAATAAAAACCCAACAACTACATACCCCCCCCTAACACCTGAAACAAAAACCTTTCATGGACTGTCAGAATCTTAAGCACAGCCTCTCTTAGTTTTACTGATATCACCCGAGATCCTGTTTTTTTGTCTTGTTTTCCGGTGAAGTGGTTGTCAGCTTAACGAAATTCAAGCAGCATACCGAGTCACTGCCTGCTTGAAAATGTCACTCAAAGCCTCACGTTGTTAAACGAGGGCGCAAAATAAATAGAACGAGAGGATGGATTTAGCTGGAATTGCTTGAACTTCATGGGGGGAGAAAAAGTAATTATATGCCCATTAAATCTTAATTTGAATGAAGTGTGTAATAATATTGTTTGACATTGAGTTTTATGATGAAAGAGCTCACTGTCTGCAGCACCAGAGAGCCTGAACCGTCCTCCAAAATATCTGTACATTCATGGATTTAATACCAATAAGACAGACCAGGATGCATGCTACATACAGTACTTCTGGTTTGTTCATGTTTTTCACTTGTGCTGTACATTAGAAGTTATACAAACAGTATAAATGTCTGTTCATACACTGCATTAATGGTGTGGTAAAAGGGTTTGTTGGCCAATAACTTTCTTTTATTGAGAAAAATAAACTCGCAGCAGGACGAAAGAGAACATATCTTCTAATAAAAGTACAAAGGCTTTCATTAAATGGCTGCTAAAGCATTTACCAGAATCTGATCCTTTGTCCTCTGTTCAGAGTTTTACACAAAAATACTTTGTCTACTTCTACAATATAGACACCCTTAAGATAGACTTATTTGGACAGTATATACGTCCTTAAAAACTATAAAACATGGACTCATCCAGCTTGCATCACTCCAAGAAAAAGCTACTGAAGAATTCAGCTGTTGTAAATTTAATTGGGAATGCCAAAGAGTATGATTTAGGGCCCTAATTAAACTTTATATTGAAATCATGGCATTGGTTAGGCTTTGATAATAGGCATGGAGTAATTTAATTAAGACCAGCCTAACTCCACAAATCATCCTATAATGTTTTTGTTGTCCAAAAAGCACAAATATCACAAGACTAGGTTCTTATCTGATTTCATTCTCAACACAAGGTCCAATTTTCTTGTTGTTTCTAATTGTTTTCAACCGCATCTCGTGGTATACCTCCAGGGGTATGGAGTTTTGCTCAGTTGTCATGGTGATAGTTAAGTTATTGCAAGGAGACTTGAGTTTGAAAGTTTTTGTCACGAGGTAACAGATGGTAGTGATTACAATTAAAAACAGAGAAGTTCCATTTGATGTGACGGGGGGGTTTTAAAACTTGAGAAACAGCAGGTAGGTTGGACCTTTTGATGAAGTTTGACTTTCTATTGAACTTGTAAAATTAGCACAGAAGAGAAAACTAGAACACAGATAGACCTGAAAATATAAACACTTTCACATTTTTAGTACTCAGGCCTGTTCATTACAGTTCATATTTAAAGCTCCTGTGAGGAACTAGCCGATTGCGTCAATGATGGAGCTTCACTGAATTTGTACTTTACATAAGTTGTGTTTCTAACGAGATGTGTCATCCTGATGTCTTTTAGTCAAACATGTCACTCACTGGGAATCTTTGCAGAGGCAAATGTAAACAAAAGCTCTTTCTGGCGCGTCATCTAATTCAACTCGTCTGACACCTACCCAGCAGAAATGTTCAAGCATCAATAATAACTTTATATATAAATAATGAATCTTATCTATGACGATCTTTTTTGCTTTTGTTGGTCATATAGAGTCATCAGTGTTCATTTCATTCTGTTTGATAACCAGCTGAAAACTCCTCTCTGTAGCTTTAAGAGCTTTAGATTTGACCCAGATTTACCTCAAGACTTTTTTTTTTAAGTCTTAGGATGATAATGATAATCATATCAATCATAATATCTCTTGATTTGTACTGGCCAGTTCTCTGATAAAACCAACAATACCCCTCTTTAGCCTACTGTTCGTAAGGTCTCCTCATCTAAATGTGCTTCATCTGTCAATGTGGATTTCCTGAGTGTATCTCTGGGACCAATTTAAAACTTCCTGTCCCAGATAATACTGACTGACTGCCGTTTGTCGTTCACAGATTCCCACCACCGTGCGCTCCATCCACCAGGATAAGATCCTGTCCCTCAGACAGCAGACTCAGTTCCTCTGGGAGGCCTACTTCTCCTCTGTGGAAAAGATTGTGCTGTCCACACTGGAGGTGAGGATTCAACACAAAAATACCAACACACAGACACATCGACGTAACCATCTGTACTTTGGTCTCTCTGTGTTCTTCTCCATCATCAATCTTTCTCTCAGTGGGCTGCAATGTCGCAGTAGACTCTCTGCAGTCTCTGCTTTATTTTCCAGCCACTCTTTGGTTTCTTTGGTAACAGAAACAAAATAAAATGTCAGAAATATGTTGTTTACAAAGCCTAGAGAGGAAATATTTATACATGTTGAAGGAGGATTTCTCACAAGCTGCTTTCTGTTTTCTTCAAAGTTAACTAGGGGCGGCTGTGGCTCAGTTTGCAGAGTAGGTCGGGGGTTTGATCCCCAGCTCCTGCAGCTACATGTCCGATGTGTCCTTGGGCAAGGCACTCAACCCCAAGTTGCTCCCACTGCTTCATCTGCGGCGTGTAAATGTGTACGCATGGGTTTAGTTACTTCAGATGGTCACTTTACAAAGCAGCCTGTGGTGTACAAGCCCTTTGATTTCCAATTTAAATGGGGAGGGTGTTCTACCCCTTAATGCCTCCTTGAGGACACCCTGGCTAAAGTGAATATGACTTAAGTCAAGGCGTAAACCAATGCACGTGTGTCAGCAGGATCATGAAGATACAATCAGAATATTAAGAAACATTAAAGAGCAGTACTTTTTCACAGTTATTAAACCTGAACAGTGTTTGAATTCATCTAAGCCAGTCTGCTTCTTGGTGAAGGACAAACCTTCAAACTGCAAAAAGTTACCTGCTAAAATGACAGATTCAAGCTAAGTGTCACTTTATGTTTAGACATCTAGAAGCCCCTCTCCTTCCTGTGACCTCTTCCTGTCACTTTAATATCAACAGCTCGGAATAGAAAATAATTTTGAGTGGAAAAAACAGTTCATCCATCCGTCCCTCCTCCCTCATTATTCAGTTTAAAGGAGTTGTTTATAGATGCCGAGATAACACCTGGGCTTAGCGCTAGCGTCACGCTGCGCTTACAAATGTCTCCTTCTCCCCCGCCTCGTCTTTCACCAAAGTATCCCATCACGCATTTCATTTCCTCTCTCGCGGTGTCGCTAAAGCCTCAGAGCAAGATCCCTGTCACTGCGACAATCCTACTTACAGCGAATCTTATAGCTGAATTTGACTTTTACACACATTAAAAAAAAGAACACCCTTTACACATCTGGGTATCTAGCAGTCTGTCTGATTTCAGCTAGCTCTCTATCTCTGTGTGTTATCTCAGTGTGCGGTATCACACACACACCCACACATGCAGAGTTAGAAACGCATCTCCATATGTCAAGTTGTGTGAGCCCAGCCTCACACGGGGCACCACACAGGCATAACCCCGCTGACATAATGTCACTCTAGTCTGCACTAAAGAGCAAGGTGACACGGAAAGCCTGTGACTCAGTGTGTGTGCTTGAGTGTGTGTGCCGTTTGTCAGTGTTTATTAGTGAGGGGTAAACACCTAATCCTGACTGACTGTCCTGTAAAAAAAAAGTGAGAGGAGAGGAGAGTGGTGGGTGAAGAGGAGACGGGGTGACATATGTAAATGGCATTGCTGTGGCCGCCCATGAGATAACGAGCGACATGGTTTATTCATCCTGTCGAACCTCCCTTTTGCTCCCCACTGCAGATCTGTGATACACACACACACAGACAAACACACACACAATCCGATATCTTGACAGATTGAATCTCCTCACACACATACATTCACAAACACCCTTTTATATTGACTTCCATCCACTGCAAACCTTGAGGTGTGTGCGTGCGTGCGAGCAGGAAACACATTTCCAACCTATCATGCGGTGTTTCCTGTCAGGAAGCGGACATGTTTCAACCAATCACAAGGTCAATATAGCCTAGCTTGGTCTGTTTCTGCCGGTACACCTATTAAACCGACCTATTAAACCCCAGAGTTCGCACTGTGCTCCCGGTGAAGCAGGATTTATCTATCATGCTCTAATTGGTTGATTGTGGCCGTTCTGGGCTGAGATTGAGTCGTCCATCATGTCCCGACTGAAGGGGCTGCCGACGGGGGAGGAGCTGCAGCCAAGCGAGCAAAATTGCCCCTCGTAAGGTGTAAAGGCTCAGGGTTTTTTAAGGTGGCAGGCTGTGTTTTTTATAGACAAGTGAACGGATTCTGAGTTAATCTGTTCAGTGGAGGTAAATGGTTATCGACTTCCCTCAGGGACAAGTAGAAAAACCTCACAAGGTGCCGTTTTTTCCCCTCCCAGTCCCACCCCCCCAGTGATGAATTATTATGTTCTTTCATCAATATTATTACAGTACACCTCCTCTAGCTATATCATTAACTTTTTTTTTTTTAACTCCAGACATCTAACTCCTTTTGCCTCCTTCAGTTAGCCTTCATTTAGTCACTGAAGTTTATTTTTGTATGTACAATGTAGGGTACAATCTGGAGAATATATTTTCACATCCTTAGACTCCTGGCTCAGAAAAGGTTCAAACAAAACTCTTCTTTTAAAAAAAACAAAAAATTACAATATCCAGGGCGTTGGTTTGTGTAGCGTTTAGTTCAAGCGCCCCTTGTACAGAGGCTGTTCTGCCTGAAGCGGGTGGTCGGGTTCAAATCCGACCTGTGGCTCCTTTCCTGAATGCTATTCCCCTCTCTCTCTCTCTCTCTCTCTCTCTCTCCCCCCCAGTCTTCAACTCTATCCACTGTCCTAGCTTTAAAAAAGGCAGAAACGCCCAAAAATAAATCTTTAAAAAAAAAGAGACCATATTTAAACAGCAGCTATTTCCTCTTACATCACACTAAAAGGGTTAGAAGCTCAAATGCATTAACAATGTTTTACTCCTGTGTTCCAGGTTGAAAGTCATATAAAGTCATCAACAAATCATTCACATTCTTTTCTTTTGAAATTTGGTGGCAATATATATCGAGTTAAAACACTGTTTTTGAGCTTTAGCTAATGCTAATATTTAGCCGCTAAGGCTACTAACAAAAAATAAAACTGTTAGAAAGAAAGTGGCGGAAGGGTTATATTATTATCTGGTAACTTTACATGATATACAGTAGAAGCAAAGGAGCAATTATTCACAAATATATTTATAAAAGCTGAGTCAGTGTTTATTCTTAGCTAACCTGTGTTAGCCAACTTGTCTTAGCTAGAAGGTGTTTTTAAATGCTAGCAGTAGCTGTTGTTTGACATTTAGGTGATGTGGCTCTTAAATATGTTGTGTTCTCTTTAAATATGGCCTTTTAATCCTCAAAGTTTTCTTTCAGCAATGTCGTTTGACTCTGAAACAAGACGGATTAAAACACATTTGATACGACTAGTAGGTTGTTAAAGAAAAATGGCGGCCCTTCGAAGATGGTGAACAAACAAAAAAAAGATAAAAGGGCTTCTGGAAGAAATACCGAAAAACAATCACTCTTCATGACAAACATTAAAGAACAGTGGCATTATGTAAAGTTTATCTTTAACTAACATATCATTACCTATTATTAGCAAAAAGAGAATACAACATGACAAAAACACTTTATTTTAAAGGGACTGGACGCTGGTACTAACTGTACCTACACTCAGAAATATAAACACAAAGAGAGGTTTAAACGTATACCTTCTGTGCATTTCATGCTGTTTGGTGAAAGTAAATGACTCATAATGATGAATGTTGTATTTCCAATATTGTTACAGTGAACCACCACCAGCTATATCCTTTACTTTTTCTACAATTCAGTCATCAGACTCCCTTTATGTCCATCTATATACCCGTCCTTTTGAGCTACCTAGCCAGCAGCCGTCACCTCCTGATTCAATAGAGTCCATAAAGCACGGCCGCAAACCTGTGTCTGTTTTACTGAAGCAATTTAGCATGGCTCAAGGGCAAGGCAGCAATATCTCTCTCTCCCCGGCCTGGGAAAACAGCGGCCGACTGTTTGAGTGACTGCTCTATTTGTGCACAGAAAAGGATCGGGGCAGGTCCGACTGACGGGTCCTCAGATACAGCTGATGACTCTGTCTGGGTCTCTCTCTCTCTCTCTCCGACAACCTCTGACTTCCTGGTTTTGTTTGCAAGAAAAGAAAAGAAAGAAACGCGCTTTAGTTTGTCTGCCGGGGGAAATATTACACAATAAGATAGATTTCCTTCAGCTCTGCTTTGTGCAGCTGCAATTCACTCTTGACACAATCAATAGCTGCTACTGAGGTGATACAAAGCAAACATTTGGAAAGCTCAGCTGGCTTCTAACTTTCTCCTAACGCCTACAGACTCACTTTTATAACCGTTTTTTTTTTTTGTGCTTCTCATATTCAATGACAGGGTTTTGAGTAATGCTCTGAATTTCAGTTCTAAATTAGAATGGCTTATTGGAGTTGGAAGATTATCTGTGTTGGTATTAATTCACATTTATGACAATCTGCTTCTTCTTCTTCTGCATTTCTGTGCAAAAAAGAATTACAGTGAGCAATGTTTTATAGGTGTGATTATAAGGCCCATTGATCAAATGTGTAATTCTTATTCCAACATAATCTGAGAGGCAAGCAGTTATTCCTTTCATCAAAATAAATATGTCAGATTTGTTATGAGTCCTCAGTGATCTCAGTGAAATCTGATTTTAACAAAGCTTTTTTGCAAATCCAAATTGTATAACAAGCCTCACAAATAGCAGAGTGGTCTAAAGAGTACAGAGACCCTGCTGTAATCAAACTAAGGTTTCATCCTCACAACACACAGAGTGTCCTTTTATCACTTCATGGTTGTCACAGTCACTCAGATCTTTGTCTTTTTCTTTAAAGTATTGTGTTAAGTCCCATTTTGCCAGATTCAAAGTCAGCTCACACTTTTATTTTCCTCCTATTTGTCAGAATCGTTGAATTGAATAAATCTTCAATAAATCTTGTGCTCTCATCTTGTAACATTTCTTATTTATTCAGAATGATATTCTGCATTTGGGACTTGAAACATGTGTTTTAATTAAGCTTCGGGGACAGGTTGATCTCTCAGCGCCGCGTCGTTAAAGGTGTGTCTGAGCTGAGCGAACGGCCGTAACTCTGAAATGGACCGACTACTTTCTCCCTTTAGAGGCTGTTTTCAGCTTTGTTTAGAGCTGTCGATCCAATCAAATTAACAACCCCACACTCCTGTTTGTCCTCAGGAATAAACTCACCAATAGAGATAATCTGATGTACACATACTGCAGACACACAGACAGAACAAAAAATGTCTCGCTTTTGGTACTTTTGGTAATGTGAAGATAAAAGCTCTTAGGGTTCTGTTTGCACTCTGATGTGTTTCTCTCGTCTCTCTGTGTGCAGATCATCCAGGACCGGGTGTTGGAGCACAGCTCCAGGAGCAGCCTGATGTGGAACAGTCACCCTGGGGGGCTCTTTGCCTTGCCGCAGTACTCTGGATACCTGGGAGACTTCCCCTTCTACTACGCCACGCTGGGTCAGTAATACACACACACACACACACACACACACACACACTCACACAGAGCAGCAGAGACACATTAGTACCTGTACAAAGTGCTGTTACATAACAGCAATAACTCTTCCTCACACCTGAGCAGCCGTGAACTGACCCAGAAAGAAGGAAGAAGTTTCTCATAAGATTCCTCAAGCATCAAACACTCGAGCACAAAATGTTTTGTCAAAATCTTTGGACATGAAAAGTCTTTCTGGAGCTTTTGGTCTGGCTACATTTGTGCATTTGGAGCAGAAATATGGCCTCAGGCCTGAGCTACTGCCCGCCTCGAAGGTCTCTTAGCGAGTGGAGTGGAGGAACGGGTCTTTGACGGATGTTTGTGTTAGTCCTGCTGACATACACACCCGTCCATCACTACTTCTTGAGTCAGCACTGCCACGTTACTACTGCTGCTGCTGCCTCCGCCGCGACCGAGCCAATTCCTCTCGCCACGGTTCAGCAGCACCAAGTTTTTACTCCGCCGCGTATCTGTGACCCCGGGAGCCTCTCAATCCCTCACGTCTTCACTCTATCTTCATCTCATCCAGCACTCCCCCACACACACACACACACACACACACACACACACACACACACACACACACACACACACACTCGAACATGCACAAGCGACTACAGCACAAACCTCCACATTAAAATAGTTGGAGCACTTTGGGTGGAGAGCCGATATCGTAATGGATGCGTGAGGTGACAGGCAACAATTACAACGCCACAAACTTTATTTGTTTGTCAAAGAGGAAGCAATTAAAACAAAAAATGTGGTTTTAGGAGACAAGGTGGCTTGTCACTGATGGGAAAATGAGTAAAATCATAAGGAGGTTGTTTTTTTTCTTCTTCAAAGTGACACTTCTTGTTCTTTAAAAGCCAAAAACAAGACCACACACACACACACACTTATCATGCATATTAACTCTCTGCACGCACAGCGGGAGAAGAGTTCGTTTTGTTTTTATTGCATAACTAATATCACTTTGCCTCTGACTGGATTGTTAAAGCTGATTAAAACAAAAAAACAACACATACCAATATAAACTCTTTAATCCTTTAGTTACATTGGTGAAAAATCATGCTAAAAAAAAAACCCTCTGTTTTGTAGCCATATTGTTAACCGGTGAATTTTTCCATTCCAGTTGGTTTCAGTCTCAAAAACACCAAAGTCCACCAGGCTCTAGTTTGGACACCTTATTCAAAGCTTCAATATACTGCAGGTTTTTTTTTTTTACAGTAAGATTGTGAATCCTGGCTTTCAATAAACCTAAAGTATCTGCGCCGCTGAAGTTAAGAGATAAATCCTGCCTGTCATCGCTGAAGGGTTTGGGTTTGGGGTTTGGGCGGGGTTGAGGTCTGGGTTCTGTGCAGGCCAGACCATTTCTTCCATAGCTCAGAAACCAAACCAAACTGGGAGGATCATTTTTCTTGTTGGACGCTGGAAAAATACCTTTTCTGATCAAGCATAAAGTTTGAAACACTAACAACGGTTCCAAATCTGAGGGGTGGGTCCCCTTCGAGGGGTCATATGATAAATCCAAGGGTCTGGGTCATTGATAGAAAATAGATGATAGAAAATAAAAAATATAAAACATCCTCAAATTCTTCTAGATTTTTTTATTTCACTTTTAAGTGTTAAAATGTTAAGGCCATTATTTCCCCAATAGATCATTCAAATTGAGTGTTTCTATGAGAAGATCTGTCTGTGAAGCTCACTGCTTTAGACCAATAGATATAAAAGCTTGGTTTGTGAGTACTGTAGACACTGTAGACTTCTTCATTGTTAGGGCTAACTAGCTAAATATATTGTAAACCAATACGGTTAATGGGTATTACAAGTCTCCTTAGTAGGAACAAAACCACAAAAACAACGATGGTACACAAAAGTACGCTATCATCTGTTGATTCTTTTTTTGCCACACAGTGCATCTCAGATTCATCAGGAGTATTAAATGTCCTCAAACACCCGAACAAGCCTTTTGTGTTGCTGTAAACATGTAGCTGGTTAGCCTGTGTAATGTGCTGATGTGATGATACAGGATGTGATAAAAAGCCACAGAGACTCGAGTGCTGAAGGCAGAAAACGGTCCGCACATCCAAAATTTAAAACACTAATTCTGCTCCAGGTTTTGTTCACTGTTTCATGAAACACTGTTTATGAGCTTGTTACAAATGTACATCCCAGGTGTGTTAAAAAACTCTCCTTACTTTTTCATTTCACAACACAATGAGAGTTTAGCAAGTTTTCAGACTGCGTATATTCCCCTCGTCATAAAAGTTGCAGTGTGGCGGAAAAGGAGAGTCCTCTAATGCTATCTCCTCTGCGCTACGCTTTGTTGCTTTTGGGTTTGATTAGATTTAAATTAGGAAAAAAAAGTAGGACGTCCTCTACGATCTGTCTTCCTCAATATCTTATTTCCTGCTCATTTTCAGCCTCGATTGCTCCGTTCCAGCATCAAGTCAGACTGAATTTAAAGTCACATCAGCACTTAAGTCGTGTGTTCATCGGCTTCCAGACGCTGAAGAGTTTCCGAAAATGAAATATTCAGTGATCAAGAGATTTGGCATTTTCAAAACACATTAACGTTGTTGAATATTTTAAGATTGGGCTTTGAAACGTACTTCCTTGACAATTAAATCATCCATATATATATTTTTTTTTTTGATGCTGACAGACTCGTTTCAAGTGGCATCCTTTACTCAAAATAGTAGTAAAGTGTTTGGGATAGAGAGCCTTCAGTTCTTCTGTGGCTTTTTTCCCTTTAAAGAGTCTGAAGTCACCGTGATGTCTGACAGTTTTGCTCGCACGTGTTCCAGCCGAGAGATGTTGTTTCTGAATCTGCAATACTAAGTGACCTTCTTCTTCTCCTAATGATTGCCCGTCTTCTCTGTCTCATTTCAGGTATTAAGCCGTACCCAAAGTTCACAGCCGTCATCCATGCCGTCTCCCCTCTCGTGTCCCAGTCCCAGCCCATCCTCAAGCTGCTGGTAGCTGTGGCCAAGTCCCAGTACTGTGCACAGGTAAAATCATCCATTCATGTGTGTGTGTCTTCACTGCAGCATTACCCACAATCCTCCACTGATCTCCACCTTGTGACTCCTCAAAGTGCGCCGCATTATGGGGGCTCATTCTGTGCCATCGTATTATCCAACCAAAGCAAAAAAACACTCATCCCTGTGTGTGTGATTTTGTGTTATGTGTGTGCTTGTGTGTGTGTGTGTGTGTGTGTTTGTGTGTGTGTGTGTGTGTTTGCTCCGGTGGATTGAATTAGAGCAGCAGTTTGTTGCGGTGCTACATCTGTCTCCATGGCAGCCAAACCCCCTTTAGCACAGCTGGAGACGGCGTGTATTGATTCCCCCGCTCGCTCCTTACCAGTTCGGGAGATGAAATGGAATTTGCTCCCCATTGGCTGTTTTTTGTACGAGTGTGTGTGTGTGTGTGTGTGTGTGTGTGTGTGTGTGTGTGTGTGTTTGGCCAGCAGAGCGTATGAGTAAGGGAGAATGTTTAGGAGGGAGTGAATGTGCAGCTCTGTGATGGTGTGTTATGTGTATGACTATAACTGTTTGGCACTTGGCTATACAATATAAAGGTGTTTATGTGGGCGGGGTGATTGTACATGTGTGTGTTTCCTACCTTTGTGTATTTTGTATCTGTTGTTTTTCATGTCTGTTACTCTGATTGAGTCAGAGGTGAACATGTCGACTTTCTTTGCTTCCCTGCTTGGTGTTATTTTGCATGTTTTGCTTATAGTGCCAACCTGAAAATTTGGTTCCAGTCGTGAAACTGAAACAATAAATAAAAGTATTTGAAGCCAAATTTTAAAGGTATACTTGGATTTTACCCATAATGCAAATTATGTAGCATCCATATGTCAAGAGACAATTTCTACTTTTTAACATTCGGTCTTTCATTTGCAGTCCCTACACCCAACTTTTAAAGTGACCTTGATGACATCAAAGAGATGAAATTACAGTTATTTTCTAAGACTTGAAAAAGCTCGTCCTGGATGATTCGACAAATGTTTTACAAACCTCTTGTGACCTGTAAACTGACTTTGAAGTTTAGCAAGCAGCCTTAAAAGAAAGTGAAACTGCAGCATAGGATAAAGCATATTTATTTATCTTAATTCTAAAAAGAAGAAGGGGGATCTTTATCTTCACGTTGTAGACGCCCCGGTCAAAGTGGGGATTTTTTCTTGAGTTAAAACTCAACAGTGGATTTCTAGGTTGGAAGTTTTAGCCAACATTTGCAGGGCTATTGTATCTGCAAAATTGTAGAAAATGTAGCAACCTTTCACCTCTAGATGAAGTCAATTTCAAACTGTTGAAAGCTAGCAAACCCCAGGTTAAGTAGTGAAAATCGATTTAATAGTAGGGGCATTTTTTTTATCTAGGCTATAAAATAAATCTCTGTTCTGTTCTGTTCAGCACTTGTATCCACCTGTACACAAAAGTGTTCAGGTTTTAGTATCCAGCCCACTTTCAGCCAAACACTTTGCACGAGCCTTCTTCCATAATAGCAGGTTGAAAGCATAAACTCTGCCTTCTTCTTCATTTTTATGGAGGTGCCTTTGTTGTTTGCTTTCTGCAGGCTGTGCATGCAGAATGGAGAGCCAGGTACACAGTCTGCGTTTTTCCCCCGCTCTCAGCGTATAGAACAGAACAGAGCGGAGGGGGAGTTTGCTGCTGGGCTGCGAGCAGATGAGGAAAGGGATATAAATAAATGAATGAAAGGGAGAGAATGAAAGAACGTGGAGGGTGGAGGAGGCTAAATCAGGCAGGAGAAAGCTACTCGCATTCTGACACAGTGGCTCCCTGCTGCGCTTGTGTGCACGTGTGTGCACGTTCATTTTGTGGGAAACGCTTCTTCCACTTCTTCCGCTATAGATTTACCGACACTTTCTTCACTATTTTTCCTCCAGCGATGCACACACACAAACACACACACACATGCAGGTATACATCCACAATGCTACCATCATGCAGCACCCTGAGAGGGCTGGTGAGCTGACAGAGACACCATCTGTCTTTCTAATCAAACAGGAATAGAGCACCGTAAGGCTGGATTAACGCTTTTCTTAGCCATGTGTGTTTGTGTGCACCGACTGCGTACCTGTTGTTATCTTACAATGTCACTTTCCCGCCCAGATTCCGCCTCACAAATAATGCATGGTTCGTTTTTATCTGCTTTGGCTTTTAATGATGAGATCATTTGACCATTCATCAAACACCTGTGTTGTCATCATTTTCCTTTTCTTTTTTTTCACTCTTTTGGCACACAGCTGCTGCAGTGGCAAGGCAAACACCTTGAACACAGACATCCATCGAAATGGCTCCCAGCTCATAATTTGGCAGGTCCAGTCAGGGTGCCGAGTCCCTGAGGGGAACTGCTGCTGCGTATGACGTAGTTAATGTCAAAATAATTTGAAGCTTTATTGATCCCTTCAGGGGAATTCTTGTGCTGAGCGCAGTGTCAGGTACAGCTCTGCACAGCGATACTAGGCTGGATTCATTTACTGACTTGTTCAAGGACATATCAGAAGGGTAGATGTTGGCTGTCACAACTGAACATTAGTTGACAGTATGCTGATGATGTGTTCCTATCCCTCTTCTAATTAATTATTTGTTATTTAATCCAAAAAATGTAGGGAAACAAATGTTTTTTTTTCTGGTTGTTCATTTAGGTTCTCTATGTTTTACTGTATTTTATAATTAGAATTTTCCATGTCTCTGTAAACTGTACATGTAGTGTTTAAGTGCAGACATTAGGACACCATTGAAGCTATTTCAGTACGTTTTGATCCCTGAAGTTTTCTGATAAATGCGAGCACACACTCTGTGTTCTAATGTGACTTTGGTGGATCGAAAGTCCCAATACACTGTGCACAATAGAATAGAGGGACTGGAAGTGACAGCGTGGCAGATGGTGGTGCTATAGCTCCAGGCAAATCTCAGAAATACAGCACACCCATAAATCTTTGGAAATACATTTTTAACAGCGATTTGTAAAGTTTTCTACTTTGAAAATGGGAGACAGGGTAGTGAGTAGAAGTTTCTTTATGATCTACAGCCCACATACTACATATTGTTTCCTGATCTAAACATTAACCCCATAAATAAATAAAAAACTACATAAGCATATGATGACTTCATAGTATTATGAAGCACTGCCTTGAGAAACTGTTCACATACAGTGTATTAGATGTGGTTGAAAGGGATGTTAGCTTATCCCTTTGACCGTTGACATGCCTTCCTCGTCACCTTTGCTGCACCGGTCAAGATTTCCACTCGGAAACTACATACCTTTTATATTTGAGGCAGGTTAACCACATCACTTCTTGATTAATTTGATAACTATCAGTCTTTGGTTGCCTTTTTATTCTAACTGAAAACAGTCACCTGAAATATCACCAGCAGACTAATCTGTTAGCTTACTAAGTATGCTAATGTTAGCTCTAGAAGTTGGTTGGAAAAAAAAAAAGGTGTGTCTTGCTAAGATCATTGTTGCATGTATGAAGCCTGCTAAAGTGTTGTTGTATTGCTAGTTGGCTAGTATTCATCCCACTATGCACGCAATGGATTGTTGATTGAGCAGTTCCCTCAGTCCTGGAAATTAATAGAGCGCCACAGAATGAGTCCTAAAACCAGGAAGTAAGTTAGCATTTGAGCGCCATGGGGTCAAACGTCTAGAAGTCAACGGGGATTTTGAATGGGTTTGTGGTTAGACTCCTGAAATAAGGTCTGTGGTTAACACAAGCTTGATGTGTTAGAGATGTTGCGTTTTGTTAGACCACATAAACTACGTTAGGTAATACCTCCACTTGTGAATTTTGAAGTTTTTACTCGTCTTTAAAAAGGCGTTTGCTAACAAGTGGCTAAATGTGACTACAGTGGTTGTCGGGGACATTAAAGGTCATCACGCCGG